TATATGCAGTGTATTATTTGTTGAAACTGTACTTCCGATTTGATTTGAAACTGTCTCATTGCTATCTGTTTATCAATAAAACTTTGAAAAAAAACATGGTAACGATAGGATAAGTGCCTTCAAAGAGAGAGAGAATGTTTAATGGTAATCTGCCAAGCCCCAGAGTTTAAGGAATTATAAAATAGAACAAAAGAAGTGGTAGGGAGGTAGCAGTGGCTGCAACATATCTCCTCTGACCCCATGATGTGTCCTTGGGAGGTACCAAGAATGAGACTTGGTTGCTGAGGACTTTGCCCACCCTGCTACCATAAACATTAAACCATCCACTTCCCATTGCCAAAAATAACCTCATACCTGAGGAGAGCTGCTGTGAGCCTTAGAGATGACCAAACATCTTAGAAGTTATTGTTTGCTTTCCAGAGATGAGCTCTACCCTTGAGAATTGCTTGGCAATGTACTAAAGTAACTTCTGTAGTGTGCTTTTCAAAAATTTTGCAGTAAAGACCTGGTCTTTCTCACCAAAAAAAATTATCATGAAATATTTTTTTCATAATTTAAGCATTCATAAATTTTGGTTGTCCCTTATATACATATATATAAAAGCATTACTTTATTTTTTATTAATTGTAATGAGAATGAAAGCAATGAGACAGTTTCAAAATAGGTTAGTAGGACAGTTACTATAATTAATACATTGCATATTGGCTTCTTAATATTCAGGGTACAGGAGGCAGATACGATATCTTGTCTAAACACTATTAGTATAAGTCTTTCTTCTCATTGAGATAAGAGAAAGTAGCTGTTTATCTATCCTATTGTGTGTGTGTGTATATATATATATATATATATATATATATATATATATATATATTCGCCACGAAATGGTTCTTCATTTATATCCCCCTTTTTTGCTTTGTTTTCTCAGACATGGGTGTTCCACTGCTATTCAAATAATTTAAGTGCATGAATTCAGCAAAATAATCCAATATAATCCAGTAGTACATAATAGTGAATTATCCACAGAACTGGCAATGCCAGAAGTTGTTGACTTGAGCCTTTTACAGCTCAGCCAATTAATATGGCTTTACTTTTTATACCTCATGGTTATTCTTTTCTGCTGGATGGTTAAGACCAAGTTAAAGCAAGACATATATGACAAAAAATGTAACTTTTTTTTCGTTTGGCAGAACTGGGTATTGAACTCATGTCCTTGCCCCAGGCAAGCGCTTATTCTACTGAGTTAACTCCCCAGCCCCTATTTAATTTCTGTGTCTGACAAGGTCATCCACTTCCCCTCAGGATTTACCGGGAAACAATGTACAGCAGTTTGTAGAAATTTTGACAGTGCCAGCCATCTGGATGAGTTATGGCCTGAGATTACCTATCATTCGTCTCTTCTAAATGCAAACTACTTCTAATGTCATATCACATATTGCTATACTCTCTCAAGTAGATGTTTGTTTTTTAAAAAGGTGATAAATAAAACAAGAGAGGGCCAGCCAAATAGCTCAGTGGATTAAAGCCTCTGCAATCAGGTGCAGGTTCTGGGAGTTTGATCCCTGGGCCTTCTGTACTGGCCATGCCTCTAGGGCACATTGAGATGTGAATTGAGACGGGGTGTGATGGTGCACACTTGTAATTACAGCTCTTGGGAGGCTGTAAATAGGCAGATCACTACAAATCCAATCTAGTAGTCAGACCCTGCACACCCCGTAGACTTTTCCCTAAAATACTTACAATAAAAATAAATAAATAAGCAAAAAAAAAGAGAGAAGAAAAAAGTCATAGGTTTGTCCTGCTACAATATTGTACATAGTTAGATTTATAAATTTCTTTGTAAAAATGTTTAATCATTTTTTCACATTCTATAGGGATTTAAAGTTTATAATATCAATGATTGTTGAAAAATACATGTTTTATGTTATGTCTAAGGCATTTGATATTCAGATAGTGAGGTTAAACTCAACTTCCTATGTTCTAGGGAAATAATATTATTAAGCTTCTCTTCTGGAGGGTTAACAACCTTAGTTTGCAGACCATAAATTAGAGAAAAAGAAGGGCTGCAAGGACAGCCAACATTTTGGCACTAGCCTTTCAAGGTCAGTGAAGACTCAGGACATAAAAAAAACCTATACTGTAACATCCTGTAACTCAGTTGTGTCCCAAATTTTCTAATCAAGGAGATTATGCAGTCAAAGAGGAATGTGATTGATGATATAGAGTGTGCCCAAGGAGAGTCACATGGAGAGAAAACATTCTCTCAGGCTTTCACAGATAGCAAATTGGAAAAGCATCACTTTAAATAAATAAAAATTTCAACTCCAGTCACATCTAAAGAGGTCTGGGAAAGTTTTTGCATTGTTACTCAAGAAACACTATACTATGTAGGATCTTAAAATTTGCTACACATGGCAAGTGCAGGCCCCGAGTTCAATCCCTGGTTCTGTCTAAAGAAAAAACTTGCTGTACATATAACTGTCAACTGTGTGGCATTAAAGATTCTGGTAAATCAGGACAATATCAAACTTTTCTTGTCCATATTTTATATATGCAGACAATATCTGATTATTATATCATTTCCTAAGTATTATGTGTGGAATTGACCCCTGGAACTATACCAAAATGATGAGAATGTTGAAAAGAGTATAAGGAGTATTAAAACAAAATTAAAAAGAGAAATCACATTTGACCAGCTATACTTTCCCTGGATACATTCCTCAAAGAGTCAAAAACAGAACAATATCTTGATATATGCATACCCATGTCTATAACAACACAATTTGCAATGTTTAATCTCTAGAAACAATCTCTTCATAAAAAAAAATTAAAATGCACGTACAACAATCTCATTGACTGAGGCTACCCAAGCAGGAGTTCACTGTACTAATAAATGTCTCAAAATTCATGGTCACCACTTAGATCATATCCTGTAATTGTACGTACCAAAGGTAATTTGTATTACTCTCATGATGATGCAATAAATTTAGTATTAAAATATGTATACATAAGTTTTTCTTTTTTAGAACTTATGTCTACATTTTTGGCAGGCTGTATATACAAGTATATTATTCACTCATGAAGAAGAATAAAATCATGCTATTTGAAGGAAAATTTCTGAAATTTGAGAAAATAATGTAAGTCAAACAAAAATTTAAACATCATATGATTTCACATATATGAGACAACTGCATTATCAATAAAAGAGTAAAATAATGAATAGGTGGTAGGGGAAAATATAAGATTTTTTGAGATGGAAAGAGGATGCAGAGCAAGGAGAGGTAATAAGATAAGGAGAGGTGTTACAGGAAATGTAAGTGATACAGATGTTTCATATGTATGGGTCCTATAGTTTTAGATAACAATATAGAAAATAGCAATATGTATTATAACATGCTGTATACTTAGATCAATTAGGAGATTATCATGTAAACAGGTTCTTTCCATCTACACATTTTCTTGTTTTGTGTCTTAAGTTTTTTTTTTAATTTTTTTTAAATTTATTTGAGAGAGAGAGAGAGAGAGAGAGAGAGAGAGAGAGAGAGAGAGAGAGGTGTGTGTGGCCAGCTCAGCCCACCAGGGGGCGGGGCTGGCTGGCATGTGGTGCTGGGGGATTGAACCGCAGTCCCTGATGCTTTGCCAAGCTAGTTCCAAGTAGGTGCTTTAGACCACTGAGCCATCTCTCCAGCCCTTGTGTCTTAAGTTTTGAAAGGACATAACTACTCATGTCCTGTGAAACTAAGAAAAGCACAGTCTATACCTGTTGACATTCACTGTCAATTTTCCCTAAACTGATATGATCACTAACTACTTTTCATCTCTATGATTTATGTTGATTTGGAGGTTTAATAAAAATGGAAAAACTTGTTTATTTGATACAACTGTTTCACTTGGCATAGCATTTTCAAAGTTCATCCATCAGCACTTCTGCCTTATTGCTTATTAATATCTGATATGCACATATGAAATGTATGTATCAATTTGTCAGTTTATAAACATTTTGGTTGCTTATACTACTTAATTATAATGAATAATACTGATATAAATATTTGTGCATACATTTTTGCATAGACATGCTTACACTTCTCTTGGGCTTATATATAAAAGTTCAGGTGCTAGGGAGATGGTTCAGTAGAATAAGCATTTGACTGGCAAGCAAAGGGGCCTGAGTTCAATCCCCAGCTCCGCAAAAAAAAGAATAAATAAATAACAATAAAAATAAATAAATAAATAAATAAAAGTTGAAATTGTTGAATTATAAAGGAAATATATTTAACTTGAGGAACTATCATATGCACATAATTTTAAGTGGGTGTTGTTTAGCATCATAGTTATAGGGTTTAGATTTAACTAGATAAAATTTAAGTGCAAATGAATTCAGTATTCTAAAAATTATATATATTTATATTTAATTAGTACTTAAAAATTTACAACTATATATACATACAAAAATATAGTTACCAAAGGAAAAATGTAAGGAGCAAAGATAATTTTTCAAAGATCTTTTGGTTACAATGCTAGAAAAAATATTTGAAAAATTTTGGAGAAATTCATGACGTAGTATTTCAGTTCTTAGAAAAGCATACAATTTCAACAAATGTATAAATGTGAAGAGTTTATTCTCATTTTTCTAGCAATCTTCATAAAAGGGTTAAAGATGCCATATTACATTGGAACAGGTAATTCCATATTTGAAGTAGCATAATTCAAAATACTTAAATGTTGAGGTCAAATATATGTCCATCACCAGATAAATGCATTAAACTTTGTTGTGCTTATCCATGAGATACTAGTCTGTTATGAATAAAGACAGATTTGAGGCACTTGTAGAAATATGTTTATTCCTTAAGACCATAATGGTGAGATAAAGCAGACACACAAACTAAAATATAATTTTTTTTTCTTATATGAGAAACCCAAAGTATGAAGAAAGAGCAAACTAAATCATAGATAGCAGCAACCAGGAAGTAGATATTTAGCAAAAGGGACAGGGACAAAGAGGTGATAGTGAAAGGCGTAGAGGAGAGGCAAAGAGAGCATAAAAAGAATTAAGATGTGTATGTACCAAATCCCTACAATGAATGTAGATATCAGGTATCATGAAACTGTATTCATAAAAATTAAAATTAAAACTACAAAACACCTTAGAGATGGAATAATTATCGTAGAAAATTAATATATTGGTTAATATATTAATATATTGAAATTCTTCTTTTTCTTTTTGCTTTATAGTTTGCATCAGTATGACCTCATTATACTAAAGGAAAAGACTAAATCTGTACTGTGAAATTAAGAATTTTACTTTCACTCTGTTTGAAAAGTAAGAATATGCCCACCTTATTCAATATTGATATATTCTTGTATTTTCAGGTTAAATAACTCTATAAATCATGGCAAAAATATTTGACAGCATATTATTTACATCTTGTTCTTTTATTCTATTGAGTTGAAATCATTGCTGTGCTTTCCTACACCCTTAGGGTACATGTTTGATTATTTTTTATTTGCCTCACCTATAGATTGGAAATAAGGATGTGTGTTTTATAAAGTAATATGTCTATGGTTTAACACATATCCAACACATACCTGTGTAAGCGTACTGCACCAAAGAATTAAGTGCATTTGGATCTACTCCCTCCATCCTGACCTCTTCTTGGTTGGCTTCAAGCACATCATTAGTAAACATTGCAGCAAAGTAATCCGACACTGCACTAAGAACCAACCTAGAAAGGGAAATGATTCATGAGTATTTACATAAATTGATAATCTCACTAAAAGTATAAAATGAATTCACTAAATTTGTGTAACTGCACTGTCTGCTTTCTATTTAAAATTTTCACAGTTCAGTAAAATACGGTGAATTTAGAAAGGCTAAATGAATAGATTAATCTTTCTTGGAGAGTTAGCATTGTCTGACTAATTCTGTCAAATTTAGCTGATCTAAATAAGGTAGGGAAAATCCATCATATATATTAATGCTATTCAATATTCAAATGTATGATCTTTGTAATTATTTTCCCTCATCCATACTTACTCTACTTTCCAAATACGCTCTCTGTGTAACAATACATACCGATGAGCTGGAATTCGAAGATGTCCAGCAATGAGCAACACATCACACAGTTGTTTCTCTTTCAAGTAGTTCTCCATTTTATGAAGAGTTTGCTCTGCATGGTTTAAAGCATGGAAGTGCTCCTCTGACCTGGGTGCATTCATTTCATCAGAATGTTGAGTATATAATCTGAAAGGGAATTAAAAATGGGAATATGGTTTATCACACCATTGTAAACTAACTGCAGGTATTTTCTTATGTGTATGTACATATCTAGTGGAAATTTATGCACACAACCTTTAAAAAGCAGCACAATGGAATAAGATAAAACAAATTTCTTTTCTCTAATATGAACTATTTGATGCTTATTTCTGTCTAATCTTCCAGTAATGAAAAAAGTCATGGTTAGTATTTATTTTATAAAAGAAATGTTTTACCCTAGTAATAATTGCTATGTATGCAAGCATAGAATTTAAAATACTATGCTTTTTTATTCTTATAGATATTACAATTATTTGTTTGTGCATAAAGTCCTAAGTCCTGCTTTGAAAAGAACTATAAATTTGTCTGTCTCAAACATCTCTGTAAGTAATGGAGTAATAAAGAACTAAATACATATCAGAAATAGTTTTTAACTAATGTTTAATCTGAGAGTCTTATAATTTTGTTTTCAATATGCCAAGCTCAAAAAGAAATTACATATTTCCACCTTTTATTTTTGACCTTTTAGGAAAATGTGCCTGTTGCATTTACAATAATGAAAATTGTCTACATATATTTTCAATATCACACATGGTAGAAGTTTAATGCCCACACAAACACAGACAGGCTTAACATCTTTGGAAGTTTAAAAATTTGATATTTGCATGAACATATGTAAATATATGGTTCATTATTATTTTGCCTTCAATCATCATTTCCTAATGACAAGATCGAATCTAATTTCTTTTCCCATATTCCTAAAACAGGCACTTTTGGGAATAATTGGTCCAAGGTGACATCATTCTCTCTGTTCACTTAATAATTTCTCTCTGAATCTTTTTAAATTTTAAATAAACTTTGGAAAATTCATTAACAGTATTGTAGTGATAATGAAATACTAAATATTAAATTTTGATTGGACTACCCTATCTCCATAGTTAGATTATAAAGTGAACCAACATGTTTCCCCCCTCCATACATAGTGAATTACATTAGCTTGTGGTGCAGATTATGTCTTCCTAAAAATAAGATTTAACCAGAAATTTAACTTCAGATGTAATTAATAGCTTGTCACTACAATATTAGTAGCCAACATTATATAGAAGATTATATTTCATTATTCCCTAGCTAGGTACATACTCTATAATGGCAGATTATGCAAGTTTAGATTAATGGTGGCATTTTTATCTCTCCTCAAGTTTTATTTCCAGAGAAACAGGGGCTGAATTCTACCAAAAGTATACTCCTCTAACCAATCAACTCAGTCTCAGGTATAACAGATGGACCAGCAGGCAGTGCCAGGTTTAAGACTAACAAATTATGCCCAAATATGTCAATTTCTGAACTACACGAATTAGGTAATCTTGTGTGTTATTTCCTCTTTTTCTGGATATCAATATAGCAAACCCTATTAGAAACAGGGAGATTTAGAATAAATTTCCACCCAGAAAATTGCTTGTTTCTAGAAAGTTTTCCTTGTTCACCCAAACCTTGGTAAATTTGTTGGTTTTTTTTTTACTTTAAGAACTAGTATAAGTAGGTTAACAATAATCTATTGTTTCACTTCAGATGGACTATTATTTATTGCTTATAGAAAGCACCAATCTATTAACACCATTAGTGGGTGAACTTTCAGGTTGCATTTAATTCCTTTTATTCTAATCCTTTCTGTGCTTCATTAATAATTCAGTTCACATTAATTATGTCTATTAGACATTCTGATTATAATTATCTTGATTATATTCATGCATATCATAGAGAAACAGGACAATTTTTTTTTGGTGGAACCGGGGATTGAACTCAGGCCTTTGTGCTTGCCAGGGAACCATTTATTCTACTGAGCCATCTCCCTGGCCCCCGTAACAGGAAAATTTGTAAAGAATTAGTGTGTTTGGCCCAGTCACAACAAGAAAATTTTATTGTATAATTTTTCTTCAGCCTAACTTGGTTAAAGAAAAAACATACATCCAAATACCCCAGAAGACAATATTGTTATAAAAATAATAATTGAAGACACAGTTTTTTAAGGTTTGTTAAAATAATCATTTTGGGATCTATAATTATCTTAGCATGAGCTTTTGTACATAACACTTTCATGTACACTATTTCATTTAATACTGTGAAGAGTTCTGTGACTTGAGTCTTATTGCTGGTAGTATTATTATTTTCTTCCCTAATTTGGGCAACAAAATTGATGCTTAACAATGTCATGGTTGGCTTTCAGAAGTGATTGAATCATAAGGGCTCTGAGTTCTGCAATAGATTAGCTCATCGATGAGTTCATAATTTGATGGTCTATTGAAAAGAGATGAAAATTTAGCCTGTGGGATCTAGTTGAAGGGAGCTCTTTCTTGTATGAAGTGCATTTGAGCACGGTAGCTTGTTCTGACCCCTTCCTCTCATTTTCTCTACTTCCTGGCTGCCATGTGGTGAGCATCTTCCTTCCTCCATGCCCTTCTCTATGTTTTGTCTCAATACAGCCCAAAGAATGGAACCAGATAATTATGCAGGACAACCATGAGCCAAAACAAGACTTTGCTCTGTAACTTGATATACTCATTTTGTCATAGCAACAAAAAAGTGACTAACATGGAAACAAAATGACTTGTCCAAGATCACTCATCACTTAGCAAGATTCAAACTTAAATTTAGACAGTTTGATTTCATAACATAAGCTATTTTTATTCTAGCTTTCTACTATCCATGTTATATAAAGTGGATCACACACAATGAAGCAAAGGAATGAATATATTCTAAAGCAGTAAATTCTATTACATCTGACTTAACATTAGAATAACTAAAGTGGAGACAACAGAACAGAGATTTATGAGCTCTAAGTGATTGCTAAGGTGAATTTATGTATTATTCTACCAGCTTCCTTGGTGCTGCTGTGGTGATTTCCATGGGATTTTTGATTGCATTTTCCTTAGATAATATCAAAGATTATATTATAATTTTATTTCTATATCTTTAATACATTTGTTATAGTTTGAAAAATATTTTATATATTTATAATGAGCACTATTTTCTTATATATTAAATTAAGAGTATAGAGTTATTTCTGCACTTTGAAAATGTAGATTTTGTATAGTTCATATTTATGGGATTTTAATACTACAAAATCAGCATTTTTATTATCAATATGTAAGGACGTAATATACTTACTGAGACTAGATAAAAGCATTTCAAACTATCTGTTATTTGACCAGCTGGTTCCATTCTTTGGGCTGTATTGAGACAAAACATAGAGAAGGGCATGGAGGAAGGAAGATGCTCACCACTTGGCAGCCAGGAAGTAGAGAAAATGAGAGGAAGGGGTCAGAACAAGCTACCGTGCTCAAATGCACTTCATACAAGAAAGCGCTCCCTTCAACTAGATCCCACAGGCTAAATTTTCATCTCTTTTCAATAGACCATCAAATTATGAACTCATCAATGAGCTAATCTATTGCAGAACTCAGAGTCCCTATGATCCAATCACTTCCCAAAGCCAACCATAACACCTGTTAAGCATCAATTTTCTTGCCCAAATTAGGGAAGAAAATAATAATACTACCAACAATAAGACTCATGTCACAGAACTCTTCACAGTATTAAATGAAATAGTGTACATGAAAGTGCTATGTACAAAAGCTCATGCTAAGATATTTATAGATCCCAAGATGATTATTTCAACAAACCTTAAAAACATGTGTCTTCAGTTATTATTTTTATAACAATATTGTTTTCTGGGGTATCAACAGAAATATTATATACTACCAACTCATGGAGTTTTAATTTATACTTTGGTTTATAAACCAAATACCTTGTTCATTCCATTATTTAACTTATTCTAGATTTGGTTGTTAGGAGTTTATGATTGGCTGCTGTGTTCCTTTAACACATTCAGCTACGGATACTATTTTAGTTATTTCCTTACTTTCTTGCACTGTAAGATGCTCCTAAATTCAACTCTGTAGAACAACCATTTCTCCAAGGAATCTTTGTTCTTTTCCTGGGAAAAACTCTATTGGAAGCCAAGATTGAGGTACTTGGTGTTTTCGCTGCACTTGGTGGTATTGTTGTTAGAGTCAAATATCAGACATAGAGAATATTTGCATATATTTATCAAGTAAATTGTATTATTAAAATTCAGGAATCCTTTCAGTATTCAGGGTATTCATAAGGGGTTCTGCTTAGGTATATGGTTATCATCAATTTAAGTAAAAATTATCTCTCAAGTAGAGTTTAAAATTAGATTTTTATTTATTTATTTATTTATTAGAGAGAGAGAGAGAGAGAGAGAGAGAGAGAGAGAGAGAGAGTGGTGTGTGTGTGTGGCCAGCTCAGCCCACCAGGGGGCGGGGCTGGCTGGCATGTGGTGCTGGGGGATTGAACCGTGTTCCTGATGCTTTGCTAAGCTTGTTCTAAGTAGGTGCTTTAGACCACTGAGCCATCTCTCCAGCCCTAGAGTTTAAAATTAGAACAACATTAAAATCAACTTGTGAATGAAAATTTAAAACTTAATTTAAAAAGGAAATGAACGTTGATAGCAAAAGTTACAATCACTTCTTTACTATTACAGTGCGTTTGGCATAAATACAAATGAAAATATAGAAAAGATATATTATTTAATACTCACAGTATAGTAAAATATAATAGCCATGTGAAGTCTTCCAGGAAACTGTTCGTATTAATAATGGACTCAGGAAAATTAAGATGCCAAAGATTAGTATTAGAAACATTTTTGCTCCATTGGAGATACAGTTCAAGGGTTAGTGGATAAGGTTTTACACATTTTCCCACACATTAAAATTATAGCTAATAGAATATGTGAAAATGCTAATGTGCATCAATATTTCTAAGTACATATATTGAAATTTCCATTATTATTCAATAGGAATAATTTCTTTGTGAGGACCTAGATTGAGTATGTGCACTCATGTAAAAGAAGTCTTTTTCCTCTAATCAAATGTTTTTCTGTTTTAAGGGTGATTTGTATATCTTCC